TTCATCTATTTTAATTTAAATTTAAAAATGGAAACCTGATCCAGTCACTGGAAACCTTTGAAATGTTTGCCACAACTCACAGCTGTAATCTACTTTTTCTACTATCCATCTGTAAATCTATGGACAAAGACAAAGCATTTGTGATGATAATTTTGTATCCAAATGAGGAAGATGACTGTGAAGAATACACTGCAGCGCTTGAAGATTTCCGTAAGAAAGTAAAATGTATCATTAAAGGTTATTTTCTAAGGAGTACATGTCAAGATGCTAAGCCTGTGGTTATGTTGGTTAAATAAAGTATATTAATACAGTTAATTCTCTCCTTTCATTTCACTTTTTAAAATGTGGCTACTAGAGAGTTCTGAATTGCACAAGGGACTCACATTCTGATGGAGGGCAAAGATTCTCCATGTGGGCCAATGTGGGCTGTGGACTCGGGTATATTCCTTATTTCTTTTCATTAACCTCTCACTGAGATTTATCATCTTTCCAATTATAAATATAGGCAACAAATTAAATTAGCTTTAGCTGTTCTTGTGACTTAATCACCAATAGAAATCAAAGATATTTCCTTGTTATAGGATTGCTGCAAACATCTCATATATCATTTGCATTGAACACTACTAGAAATTACATAATTGTCACACTGGCTACTGGATCTCATAATTTAATGTTAACAGGAGAAGCTCTATTAATGTGCCTTACATGTTAACCTATTTTGCTAATAGCATTTTAATATAACCGATCTATTTGACAATATATTTTAATGCCGTGCATTTAACAACACCGAGCAGCTATGAACTTTAACAGTTACTAACGAGGTCCATGGAACAAAAAGAGCTAAGAACTCCTGATCTGAGACATTGCCAGGATCTTAGAGTCTGATCCTTTCTGGGTTCATCTAGCTAGAGGCAATAAACTTTACACAGGTCAAACCCTTGATGGAAATTTCCAGTAATGCTAGCGGTACAGTTACTTCCAAAGTCAGACTGAGAAAACGCTCACAGATGAAATATTATATTCATTCAATGTACCTGGGGTTTTGTTTAGAAAAGGAAAACATTTTTTTTTCTTCCTAGAAGAATTCCATAAAATTGAGTAGGAAACTGTCGTCACAGAACCCTTGGCACTGCCTGCCGAGGGGTTAGGGTCCTGAATAGGCAGTGACCGCCGGGTCCTGGATCACCCACCTCAAAGAACAGCAGAATCCTTGAGGGGAAAAGCACCTGTGTTCCCGGCCTCTGTTGGGGGAGGGGAACCTTATTTAGGGGTACTGAGGTAGGAGGCCTCTTGCACTGCTTTCTGACTTATCCTCCCACGAAGCTCACTGTGATGTATATTAGCGAACCAGGTGCTTAAATCAATCCAGAATCATGTCAGCCTTGATCTCTGCTAGGCCTGTGCATCCTTCCCCCAGAGGAGCTGAGATCATACAGTTTTCAAAATGAACTCCAGGAAGCTCTTGGGGAGGAAAAGGGTAAAGGAAAACAGACAACTTTGCACCCCATCCCTTAGCCAAAACCTAGCAGGAATAGTTGGGTTTTCTAAAATCTGTTTTGTGTTTTCAGTTTCTGAGGTACATTTGAAAAATCTGAATCTGAAGTTCTGGTGATTAAAAAAAAAAGTTAAAGCATGAAATGAAAGACCGATCTTGTCCAACCCTTATTTCCTAAACTTTCATTGGCAAAGGACTGAGATTTGACCTGAGGTCTCAGTGGTCTTGCCAAGAGGCAGGTGGTGCTGACCGCGACCAAGGGAATTTTCAGAGGAAGCCTGGGGAGAAAGTCACTGGTGTGCATGGAGGAACCAGTGGGAAGAGAGATATAGGCAGCAGGTCTAGGCAATTCATTGGAATTTTTTGAATTTTGTTCTAAAGGAGAATAAATTAAGGAACACAGCTAACAGGGTAAGCTGTCGAGAGAGAGAGTTTAACTTAATAGGGGATAGGGCGGTGCATTTTATCATCTAATGGGGATGAACCTGCAGTCAGAAGGGGAAACAGGGACAGAGAAAGCGGGTTGCTGGGCAATGCCCTCGGGTAGCTGCGAAGAGGCTGACATCATGTGACTCTCCACCCTAGCACGCCTGGAAATGGACAGTGCAAGTGGCTTAGCTGAGGTGGGGAAGGAAGATGAGGGAGTAGCATGCTATTTTCCTTATGCACCTGTAGTATCTTGGGGCTGAGGATAAAAACAGAGAGAAAATCTTGGGCATCAATGATATTCTACTAAATCTGCAAAACCAAACCTAAAAAAAGGAATATTGACAACTATAAAAATGATGAAACACAAGTCATTGGTGGCCATCTACTTAACTGTGAAATATTAGGGGAAAAAAAAATCAAACTCTGGCCTTGTGGCTTCAGTTTGCTCGTTTGTAAGAAAACCGCCGGCAGAATGTGAAACACATCTTGGCAGCGGTGCCGTGTGCTGCTGAGCTGTACCACTAGGGGGCAGAGTTCTCCTTTGCCTCCATCTGCAGTATGGGTCCACAGAACCGCATCTTACATTTGGACAGTTTGTTTTTTTCCCTTCCAGGAACACACGCTGGATCTGACCTGCAGCCCAGTGATTACAGCAGCTTTCGTTGTTGCCTGTCTCCAGTTCTCAGTCAATGTGCCGGACACTTCACAATAACCCAGCAGAGATGGGCAGGGTACTTCCCATTTCCAGATGAGGGGACCGAAGCCAGGGAAATTAAGTCTTGTCTAAACTTGTCTAAACTTACAGAGGGAGCAATACCACATGGGGGTGCGCCGTGATCCACAGCCAGATGGGCCCCCCACCCCCTTACCGAGGCCTCCTTGGTGTTGGTCTCCTCCGACGCTGACTTGGCCACCTTCTGGATGATGGGGGCGATGTTGGTGGGGCCGTACAGCTGGAGCTTCGGAAGGCAGCTCTGATAGGCTTCCACGACGCCTTGAATTCCTGGGGCGGAAGGGGCAAAGATCAATAGTGCCGAAGTCCCTCAGATACATTTGTCACCAAGCACGTGCAAACTGGGCAGGCCCTTCCCCAACAGTCCTTCTCAGCGTCACTGGTGTGCTCTTCTGTGGGGCTGGGATCCTCTATCTCTGAAGCATGCACCATGGCGTTGAAAACCACCGTCAGCTCCATAAAGAGAAATGCCACATGTATGTATGTTGTTGAGATAAACCACATTGCCAGGGAGGCTGCCTCTGCTCCTGCTGAAACCATTCACTTTAAAGGCGCAAGCAAAGGCAGCCATTTCCAGAAACACCTCTCGATCACCCTTACACTATGGACCAGACATTTCTACTCCAGGGTCTTCTGTTACACTTGCAATTTCATTTCCTCCTCACAGCGCAATGAAACATGGTGAAACAGAGGCATAGAGCGGTGAGCTGACGTGCCCCAGGTGAGACAGCAGTGACTGCCGACTCAGGATTCAGGCCCCGGCTCCCTGGTCCACAGCCGCGCGGCAGGCTGGCTTCACGTGCCTCCTGCTTTCATACCACTTGGTTCCTGGATTCCACTCGCCACCCTAAGCCCCAGTGCTCAGGGCCATGCACCGGAGGGGAGGCCCCTGGGGGTATGACTGGTGTCTCTGCCTCAGGGAGCCTCAGTGGATGCCCTCGAGCCTGTGACACCAACCTCGTATCTGCTACCCTCCTCGGCTGGGGATTGTGGTGTACAGACGGGAGACTCATTGTCACAGCCATCCCGCCTTAAAAGGGGTCCTTGTGTCCTGAAGCCACGTGTGCCAGGGAAGTCATGAGGGCTGGGGCTTTGGGGGAAGAAGCACCCTGCTTGTGGGCACCCCAGCACCCCGGCTTTGGCCTGCCCGGGCCACATCATCATCATGGCCCATGGTGACCACTGGTTCCTAAGGATTTTCAGGGGCTGCTCCAGCGCCTAGTGCCTGTACTACCTCGCGCCTTCCTGTTTCAGCTCATCCTCTCCCCCCTTTCCGTCCTGAAACAGCACACTGGTCCTGTTTGGGGCCAGGACAGACACCGTCCTGAGATTGCTCCCCACACCCACCATGTGCACCAACCGGCTCCTGGGGATTGGAGCAGTCAGTTCTGTTCTGCCCTTATTCACTCTCCCCACCCCAGCGAAATGTGGCTCCCCTTGTCCTGCCCCAAAGCTGTCTCTTCTAGGGACAGATACCGAAGTCACAGGCTGCCTGGCCCTGAGTGACGGCTGCTCAGCGGAAACGCCTCAGTTCCTATGGTCCTCGGATTTTTCTAAGATAAGCAAGTTTGATTTTCCTTTCTGAAGTTTCAGGCGGGTGAAGTCTGTGGAACAGGTGGACGGAGGGTGTGTATTTCATTCTGTGTGGGTGGAAACCATTATTACCAGTTAAGAGTGGGGATGGCACACACCCCACCGAGTGTGAATTCACCCTGGTTCCGCCCCCTTCTTCCCTGAGAAGGAGGAAGCAAGATAGGCACGGCTATCTACCTCACTAAAAGACATCTAAGCTTCAGGGCAACAAACATCCCTGTTTCTATTTGCTATTTAGAAAGCAGAAAAAATTGGAGAATCCAATTTATCACCAGAATGGACACCACTGCTTCACCATTATCCTTCTGTGGCATTGTGCCAGGGAGCTTCTGGCTGGAGACAACAGAACACAGAACCTTCGAGAAGGTCAAGCTTTCTTGAAGTCACTGAGTCCAGCCGCACCTCTGCTAACACGCGGAAGTGTCAGTTGGGCCCCACATTTCTCCCTGTCCCTAGACATGCACTGAGAAAGTGGCAAAAAATAAAGGACAATTGGCCAAGTAGAAAGCCCATGATTTCATTCCTGCCCATCAGGACAAACTCCCCCCAGGGACCCAGCCAGAGGAATCTGGAATCCAGATGGGCACTCTTGCAGGGAGCTCAGGACTGCCTCTGTGCCCTGTTTTTTCCAGCTCTTGTCTTTTGCTGTGACTGTCTTGCTTTGCAGCAGGGCTTGCTGGCACCCAGAGAGGCTCCTTCTCTGCTGTGACCGCCCTCGGGTCTGGGAGGAGAGAAGCTAAGATGGGAAGGTACAGAGGGCGGTGAGTTGCTGGCGCTCTCTCTGTGGTGATTTACCTGCGCATTCTGGGTTGTCTTCATTAAAGTTGATTGCGAAGTCATGAGAGACCTAGACGCCAATTAAAATTTTCAAACGGAAGAAAGGAGAATTACAACTTTAATCCAGTAAGGAGGCGCTGGGGTTTAGAGTTTGCAAACAAATGCCCATTACATTCATTATGTGTAAAGCAGCAGGAACCATTTTAAGCCTTTACACAATCAATCTGAGATGGAGGGTGAATGCTAAGCTCCCTGTGGAGTGGAGGTGACAGGAGATTTTCTAGAATCAGATAAATGCTGGCAGGGGGGAGAATAAGGCATATAAAAAAAAATCTAAGAAAAGACTTCAGAGAAATGTTAACTCCAAATAGCTTCCACCAGAACTGGCCACAGTTTGGAGGCTTAGATTTGGCTAAGTTCTATTTGGATCCCCAGTGATTTAAAAAAACAGAAAGGAAAGAAAGAAAAGGCAACTCCTAAGTTGTCTTCTCCGTGGGAAGGACCATAAAGGCTCCATGCAAAAGTGGCTGTCACTTCAGAGTGATGCTAGTGTGATATGCTGAGTGACAGGCAGGGACTTTCAAGAGCACACAGGTAAAATGGATTGTTCTCTACTTTGGGCAAAGTAATAGATTAATAAACACAGTCAACTTCCTTTAAAAAAACACAACTTGCCATCTTTCAAATTCCCCTCTCTGGTAAGACCTATGAACAAGGTCAATAATATGGTGTTTACTTTTTCATTTTAAACCTGATGAAACAAGAGGGATGTTTGGGCATCTCAACATTCTTATTGGCTCGTTTGGAATTTTCCAGAGACTTCTATGTCAAAGGCTATTTCTGGCACTGGTTCTCTTGGGGACTAGAAAACAGGTCTTTATGTTGAAAAAGATTCTCTTATCTTATTGGGAGGCCAGAGTGCTCTGCTGGGTCCTATTCCTTTGCCCTTAGACTTCCAGGTGAGCCAGCCAGTGGCCCACCATCCCTTCCCGCCCGCTTCTCTGCATTCCAGGCTGTCAGTTGCTCTCCAGCCTTCAAAGCCTGCTTTGCCTGCCCAAGACACGGGCTGAGAACGTTGGGGAGTTAATGTTCCCAGGAGTCACCTGAATCAGAGGTTGATAGGAGATGGTAGATCGACACCCCAGGTCTCTTGTTCTTGGCGTTGGCTCCACAGCAGGATTAAGCTTTGGCTACCATGGAGGTAACTGACTTGTTACTCTATGCTGACTTCCTTGTATCCCTTCTCTGATGAGCTTGCTCCAACTCTCAAATAAACTACCTGCATCCCGAATTGTGGTGTCAAGGTCTGTTTCTGGAGAGTGTTGCCTAAGAACTGCTTATGTCTCCGCTCAAGAGAAACTCAGATTTTATCTCAGGCAAGTGAACGGCAGTGCCTGCAAAAGCCAGGAACCCTGTGCTGCTGAGCCATCCAGGCTCTCTGGGAACACTGGTCCTAGAAAAAGAGGGTCTTGGAATGGTTTGGGGGAGCACACATGAAACTGTCAGGGTAAGTTAGCTGAAGGTAGGGTGGGGTCCAGGCATAGCAGGTGGGAGGAGTTCAGGAAACAGCAATGTCAGGAAGGGGATCGGGAAGATGTCATGGATGTGAAAGGAAGGCCAGGAGGGGGGCAGGATGCCTCTCACAGCCCTGCAGGGTCGCTGAGACTGGCTGCTGCCACCTGCTGGGATGTATGTCTGGGGCGGTGCTCAGCTGCACTGACTGAAGTGCAACCCAGACACCCTCCCCCCAAGGATATGCATTTCTCAACTCTGACTAATTCTCATTGGGAATCTTTAATCTTAGCATTGCCAGGTCTTTCAGTTTCTCCAGAGGAGCCAGAAATCTGACATTTATTATGAAATTGCCCAGTTCTTAAAAAAAAAAAATATAGCCAACAGAATATGTTTGTGGCCTGAACGATGCCTACACATTATCAGGTAACAGCTGCTGTCCTCTGTGCTTCCTTGCCACCTGCTCTATTTCCAGGAACTGCTTCTAGAACTCCATAGCCATGCCCAGGAGAGAGGTCAGTGTGGAGTATAAGGCAGACAGGAGACAGGTCAGGGAGAAACATTTCATCCCACCCACTGCTATTCCCCGCAGTAATGGGAGGGTGGATTCCCTCTGGCACCAAGGGCACAGAGGGGTGGCCCTTGTTTGACAGCTCTGGGGAGGGGTACCATCAGCATCTGTCTCCTGCCCTGCCAGGCAGACACAACAGCAAGTCCCTCCCACCAGGAGGAGCCGAGATCCCCATGTGAGGGTCCACAGGACCATCTGGTATACTGCGGGAGAGGGCCATGGCTCCACGGCAGAAAACATCTCTTGCAGAAGAACCTTTCTTTGTGTCACGAGAAGTCAGTAACAAAATCAAATAGGATTTCAACACATTGTAGGCACCTTTTGGCTCCCCGGTTCTCTAAGCCAGAGTGGGTCCTTTCTCCCTTTCTCTAGTGCTTCTGTGTGTCTCCTATCCCAGACCGGTGTTCAGAAACTTGGGGGAGTCTGTGGACCTCAAGGTCATGGATGGCACCGTGGCATTGCCCAGGGGATTCTTCTCTAGGGAAGACCTGAACAGACAGATTGGGAACCAGTGGGGATGAATTCCTGGGTGTCTTCTCAGTCTCTGACCTTATTTGCATCTATGACAATAACGGACCCCTTCACGGGGACTCCACAATACCAAGAGGCTAGAGGCTCAACAATAGTCAGGCTCTGAGGAGGGAATCTCACTGGTTCTGAAGACTATTTCTGACTTTCTGGACTTATATGAAGGACCAAAAGAGAGAGACTCCTGGGAAGGGACCCCAAGTCACCCTGTGGCTACAGCAAAGTGAAAGATGACCCCATTTTACTCACTCACCGTGTACTCTGGGGGTATCCTGGCACCGAACCCAAAGGCTGGGAACATTTTGTCACTGAAATAAAAATGAAAAGAAAACGCTGCTTCATGTGTTCATCTAATGAGAAGGAAAAAACCTGAACCTGCATCACTGGCTAGGACGCGTTGCTATGCCAAACGCTGACTCATGCCTCCTGATTATCTGGGGTAACTAACGGGATTGCAGTGGCACAAATAATAAAAACCAAGACATTGTCCCCAAGCTCCATTCCAGACACCAGTCTGTAACTTCTTCCCTTTGTTGTTTGCTTTTGTTTTCACGGGATCTGGAACCAAGGAATAAAGGGGCCCTACTCTGGTCTCTTTCCCTTGAAAAGTGATCGTGAATCAAATAACTCTATGATTGACTGTGCTGGGATTTTTCATGTACATTATCTCTTTAAGTCTCTACAGGGAGAGACAATTAGTCCCATTTTGCAGGTGGAGGAAGTAAGGCAGCTTGTGTGAGATCACACTGCTCGTTAGAGTCGGACTGGATCCAAACCTGAATCCAGGGGGATTTTTAAAAGCAACAGGAGCTTTGGAAAGCATAGAAGTTGGCTAATTGACAGAACTTAGCTCCATCCGTGGACTTGTTATGCCCACTACTTTATCTCATAGATGCTTCCATTAATTGCTTACATGTTTTTTCTTGTTTTCTGAACTCAAAGGAACATTATTTTTTTGGCATTCCTGTCTCTACCTCCCTGCTGCCTCCCTGCACCAAATTGCCCCTTGCCCTTGCCTTCAGCTTGCCAGAGAATGTGTGTTCAATAAATATTTAATGAGGAATTAACCCATGAACTGAATCCTTAAGATGACGCTGCAGAAAGAGGGCGAATTCTTGTGAAAACCCACGAGAGTCACATAAACGTCCTTTGGCTTGGATTCTCTTATGCATATTGGCAATTTTCCTGCAATTCATTCATTCACTTGTGTTGTATCTTACTTCCACCTTGATGACCCTCTGGCTCAGAGGCTAGGAGAAGAGTGAGCATTTGCTGACATGTACAATGGGCTATACTTCTTAGTTGTCACACAACCCTTGAAGTTCCATCTCTGTACTATACATATGGATCAACTGAGTCTCAGAAGGGTTAATTAAGGTGGTTTTCTTCTGGCACTTTCAGGATCAGGGCCCGGGGACCAAAGAACAAATCGCTCTCCATGAGCAAAGCTGGTGATGTCGGGAGAGACTGAGGGAGGGCTCTGGAAGGTCGCTTTGATGGGGACATGTCTCCCACACTGCCATCTTTCATTTTCACTCCCATTCTAAACATAGCTGAGATTATTTTTTGGGTCAATTTCTTAATTTCTCAGTTACCTGCAGAACCAGTGAAGGAGGAGGATTGAGAGGTTAAAGTAAGAAAGCCAGGTTCTCATCCATCACCACTGCACGGATTAGAGGTTGTTAGAGCCAACGATGGTTTTTATAAAACTTCATCAAAACACAGCCAACTTGACCACATTTGGGTAGGGTTTGGGAGAGATGGGGAAGCCAGGTTATTTGAGATCAAAGTCTAAATTCTCCAGGAAATCTAGCTCTCCCCTTCCCTCTTGGTTGTATAGTTATGAGCTGTGTGATACATGTATAGAAATGACATTAATGCTGAGAAATAGAAAATCATAAGAGCTAATAAAGGATCAGCTACAGCTCCTAGAAAAAAACACTTCTGGTTCTGGAAATATTGAAACATTTTGCAATTCATCCCTAACCAAGACCAAGGGTAGCAGTTATTGGAAGGAATTAGTGAGGGGCTTCAGAGGTACTGTCTAGTTATGTCTGGAAGAAAGCTTTCCTGGGTGTAGGAGGGTTCTTGATGCTTCCAACTCAGAGACGGCTCAGATGTTGAAACGGGGGGCCCTCACTCTTTATTTGGTGGGTTTGGCGGGTGCCAGTTCTAATGTTCCATCCATTTGTAATCATCCCACCAGTATTCTGGCCTTAATGATCTTCCTTTTATATCTTTTGAGCCACCCTTGGGGATGTGAAGTTTGCTGAACTTGATGCCCTGTTATGTAATGGGGTTTACAATAGTAGACAGGCAGGGAACAGGTCTTACCTACAGAGGAATAATTAATGAGCCTGGAGGGCATCAATTCTCTGGAGTTAGCTACCACAAAGCCTCTAACTAATAAACATACTAAAGAAAAGAATTTCAGACCTCAGCAACATCCATTCTTAAGTGGATTAAACATCCATTCTTTCTGATTAAAAATAAAACGAGGCCGAGGAGTCTTATATAAGCAGCAATGAGGACAAGTCAAGCGATGAATGAGCATTGCTATGTGCTACTTCAAGAAACCGAGACTGGAGCCATCAGCATAGAATAAAGGAACCACTTAGCCACTACTGGGAAAATCAGTGGTGGGAACTGCCAGTCTGGAAATGTTGGGGGCCCTATCACTACGCTGGTAAAAGCAACATATCTTATTACAACAACGAAATAGTGTAAAATACAATCAAAAGCCCTTGGTCTTCATATAGTGGATTGCTTAGGGAATTCGGTCATGGTCAGCAGCTGAGATGCTGTCCAGTGGAAGATTCATGGTCAACCACCATTTTCCCTCCCCTGTTAAGGAATCTCTGAGCTAAAGCCAGAGATTAATAAAAGTCGGGCCGCATGACAGCATCCAAAGAGCAATGGCCACTACCTTGGAGTGAAACATCGTCTCAGAACACCTAGACAGGTAACAGACTTCTCCAGGACACAGATCTTATAAACTGGGGTACATGAAACGTAAAACCCTTTTGGACATAAGAGAGCATGGCTTTTCTTCCTCCTCTTTTTTTTTTTTTTTTGTACAGGAAGTCCGTATCTGGGTCCTCTATTTCCGTACTGCTGGCAGTGGTGTTCTGGTGGGAGACCGGGTCTCCATGCACACCTTCTCATCACAAGCAGCCCTCTCCTTCACCCAGCCTGATCTCAACTATCATAGCGCCATGCCCGAGAGTGCAAGGACTCTGAGGTGGAAAATAAAGGGGCGGTTCTAAGTGTGGGAGTCACTGCAAGATGAAGCCTTTGCAAGCCAGGGATAGTGGTAGTCGAACTTTTTCCAAAAAGCTTTCTTAGCATTTAGGTTTAATAATAATTAAAAAAAAAAACTGTATTATCATTGACAGTCTGTCTCACTCTAATAATAAGTAGTGTTCATTTACAGGTATGTAAACCCTCCTCGCTGTTTCATTAAGGACTTTTATACAGGAAATAAACAGGTGTTGAAATTTCTACTAAATATGTTGTTTTGATCCGTGAAGAACTTATAATATTGTAATAAAAACTCAACCAGAAGATAGTTCTTTGAATCTTTTCAACAGAGAAAATTTTGGAAATTAGAAGTGAAAAAAATCTATATTCATAGAATATCAAACAGAAATGTTTGATAGGGTGATCTAAAAAAAGCATTTCAGATCCTTTTTTTTTTTTTTCTTCCCAGATCCATTTTTAAAGGTTCATCTGGATAAAATGGGTGGGGGAGAGGAGGGAAGCAAACAGAAATAGGAACTCCTAAAAAGGAAGAAAAGAATTAAAACACTCCCCGCACACTGAAGAACTTGCCCCTGTGGTTTCAAATGGGTGCTGGTGGGTATTGGAGAGATAACGATGTTCAGATTTGTTTGCAGGCACTCAGGAGAGTTATGTAAGATTTTTCTTTTTAAATACCCATATTTAAACACTAGCCTCATGGTGGAAATGTTAGATTTTAATCTAAACATGTATTTTTATAAAATTGTTTTTAGGAGTATGTGAGCAAAATATTCTTAAGGTCATTGGTCTCAGATGACTTTCAGATCTGCTGCTGAGTTCTTTTTGTGTTCAGAGTATTTTAAAAAAATAAATTGAGGGCTTCTAAGACAGAGAGCACCAGGGTCACAGGCACAACACGGCCCTATGGCTGACGCTGCCCTGCGGTTGCAGGAAGTTTGATAAGGGAATAAATGCTAGGAGCCCCCATTGTGAGGAGGAAACTGCTTTTCTTTTCCTTCTATTGTTTCTTAGGAGCGAGAGGTACTTGAACGATGGTGCTAATCATTTTATAATATATGTAAGCCAAATCAGGTTGGATGCTTTCAACTGGAGCTGACTGACTTGTTACTTCCCAATAAAACTGGGAAAAATAAAAACCAAACACATAAATTAAGGGTATTCAAGAAAATAGCTTCTGGTGAACTGACAATAGGCAGAGGCACTTGATAGTGGTTCTCTAGCAGGCTGCTCTATGTCTAATCCTCACAAAGCTTTGTAAGGGAAGTAAGGTAATTTGCAATCCAGGAACCCCCGGGGGAAGTGAACTTCGGGGTGCAGAGGGGGTGGTGCTGGGTGCTGGACCTAGAGCCCTCTCCCAGGTACCCTTGTGCTTTGTTGGCGCTGCCTTCATAGGAGGTGGTCTGGGCTAGTGATTCAGAATAATCAGGGTTAGTCCATCCGTGTTCTCACAACAGCAAAGGACAGAGCTAGCAGCATCCTAATGAGCCCAGGACTCACCCTCTGAGGATCCCTGCCTCAGCTTCCTTCCTCCCCACAGAGGACAGGCTAATCCTTCCCACAGCTGCCCTGGCCACCGGCTCCCATGTGATCGATCGATCGTGAGTCCTGGGAGGAGACTGTGCTTTATTAATCTCTCTGTTCTGTAGCATCAGTGAGATGCCCGGGGGCCAGGGCGGGCTGCTTTGGTCTTCTGCCATGAGGACCAGGAGTTGAGGGCCAGTGCTAATGAGGACTAAAACTCCTGATTCCCTTGTATGAGTGATGTTTCTCAGGAAAAAGGAAATGCTTAAAATTTGCAAATAATATCATTAACATTCACAACATTTCCAGTGCATTCTTATAGAATACAAGTGTCTAACTGAGACACTTTTTGCTCCCACAGAAAGGACATCAAAATAGGCTTTTAAGAATCCAGGTTCCCAGGCTACACAGCAGACTATGAGCATCTTGCAGGGTGTGGCCCAGGTATCAGCAAACTCTGAGGCCACCTGAGTGGCCACGATGTGCAGTCCGACCATCGCTGATGGGCACTCTGGGCAGAAGGCAGACTGTGATGCCAACCTGCCTTCTGCTGTCTGGCCCTATCCTCTACCCTCGGAAACACCCGAGAGCAGCCAGCCCTGACCTCACCTTCCAGCACCGTCCCGGCATAATGGCAGAAGGATGTCTGTTGCCTGGGTCTGGAAACCTCTGGCTCACGCTGGGAGGCCCTGTCCACACAATGGCAGTCTGTGCACGCATTCCTGCACTGGACAGCAGACAGGCCAGCCTTCTTAGCAGGGGACATGGCAGTGGGCAGAGACTTGTATCTTGCTGGACCCAAGGAGCAGATGTGACTTGGCCTTGGGGAGCCCCAGGATACAGGATGTTCCCAGGAGCTGGTGGGTGGGGCGGCTGATCACCGTCACTGGCGCAGGGGGAGAACAGGCTGGTGGGATTGCCTTGGGGTGTCCAGCCCTCTAGTTGGGGGACGTTTCCCTGCAAGGCTACCCTGAGAGGTGCGTGCCACTTCCCTCCAGGGGCTTCATCGTGTGTCACCTTGTGATAGCGTGTTAGCAGGGACTGCAAGAGGCAGGAGGAGAAGGTTGCGAGGGCCTAGAGTCATTTCTAAGGCTCCAGGGGATTAAGAACCCTCATTTCGCTCCAGGAGGGGCATGCGGCCTCCTGTCAGTTTTTAGGCAAGTGTTTCTTTTCCAGCCTCAACCTCACTGACTTTGACTGGAGAGTAAATTAATTCCAAGGCCCGACTTGAAATTTCCTGACTCTGCCTGTGTATTGTCTATCCACCCACACAAGCAAGAAACTGCAAACCCTGTCAGTTCCGAGCCAGCAGCCTGCACTGTGCGCTCTGCTAGGGAGGTTTTGCAAAGAACACAGAGGTTTCAATCCTCCTTTCCTTCCTTAGGTATCCGGGTATTTGGTCACTTTAACACTGAGCTGTATTTCTTCTCTCTCTCTCCTGCGCTGAAGAAACCTGATTTTCTTCAGGCTTCTGCCATTTGGGACTCATAAATTATCAAATTCTTTTAAAATTCCTACTAGAATTTTTAAAAAAGATTCATTCACAGTGATTCTTCACAACCCCCATGCTGTTGTACCTTATTTTTATATTGAACTGTATTTTTGAGGAAATACAAAATGCTCCCAAGACTCTGGCTCACGTTGTGAGGAAAACAAGCGTTAAAAGATGCACAGTGGTATTTGCATCTTGCATGTGAGGCGATCAGGAAAAGCAGAGACACGCAGCTCCGTCCCGGACACCCAGTGAACGCGCCGGGCTGCTGCGAGCGCTCTGGCTGGCGGCCTCTTCATTTCCAGACAACCCACCTGCTCTTTGAAATTCATTATCACACCACCTCTCCCTTGCTGAGTCCACTTCGTAATTAAGCATCTGTGGGTGACAGAGGTCCTGTGTTTTGAAACTATTTTTATGAGCATTTCAAAATGCAAGTGTTTTAAAGAATCCTGAAAATATTCCCTCCCTTCATTCTTTTCTCTTATGGACACATTATTACACTAGTGTGTGTGTGTGTGTGTGTGTGTGTGTGTGTGTGTGATAGAAAGAACAAGAAAATGACTCTTTCTGGTCTTGGGGGAGTCTGGAGGAGTGTATGGCCGTGGAGGTACACTTGTCAGTCTTCTCTCCACTTAGTAGAAACCTCCCATTTGGTAGAAACCTCTTGAGGAATCCTACATGCATCTGAGTTGAAGAAATCACAGCTGAAATTCAAGCTATCTTCACAGCCAATATGTCAAGGTTAAGTGTAAGAAGTATCACTTCAACAAGGTAATTCCAGACGCCGCTGTGTCTTGTAAACGCGCAGGGGCTGTGTGAGCGAGACCTGCATTTCACAGCCCAGACTTCGGTGGACCTGCCCATTCGCTCTCCCAGTGCCCTCAAGTCACTTGAGTCACTGGCCATGAACAAGCCACATCCAGAGACTGCTGGCAGGAAGGGCACCCACGGGACTTTCTCCTTCCCTGCCAGCTGGTTTCTCTGCACCTTCTGGCTGCTGGGCTGGGCCATTCTCTACCGTGTCTGGTGCCACAAGTTGTAATATGGTTCTCACCACTATGAAACTAGAAAGAACAAAAACATGCTGTCCCATGAAGTTTCTCACCCTGCAGGATGCAGCTACTTTCTCTATTCTCCTGGTTTAAAATATCAGTTAGTTGCCCATTATTATTAACTAGCTTTGTTTTATAATCACAGCAGGGTGGCAACTGAGATTTACCCATATTTGTTGGCTCTACCTCAAAGAACCTTCCTGAATAAACACACGAAGAATTTCACCTCAATCTAGAAAGGCAGAATAAACTGTTCAATGTGGTTTATGTAAATCATTTCTTACAGGGAATCCTCTTGGTGGGAAAGGTCAATATTTACCAGCAAGTAAAAACAAATATAACACTGATAGGATTTCACAATCCCATTTTCTACACACACACAAACACGCATAGACACACACACACTCTGATAAAGGTCCTGAGGCTTTGGGGGTGAGTGTAACACAGTGATTACAGGTTCAGCTGTCCAATGAGCTAGATCTGGGGCAAGCCCCATCTCTGTCTGTGACAGTGTAAGAAGTGCTTAACCCCCGTGTGGGTATTTCTTCTTGTGCTAAAAATACCTATCATTACCTAAGGGTTAACAGGAGGAACCAGTGCTTTGCAAACATCTCAAGGCTCGAAGCAGCAGGGGTGCTTGGGGAAATGCTTTCTGATGAGTAAGTCAGGAACCAAACTGGTTGGAGACTCCAAGTTCTCAGGGAAGCCAAGCAGCTGGCCCTTGGGCCAGACACCCCACAGCAAGGCCCAGACTCAAAGCTTTATAAGAAGGAAACCAACATGACTACTCTGGATCTTGCAAGCCTACGGAGTGAAGAGAGCTGAGGGAGGATTCATTCTGATGAGGGAAGTGAGCACTGCTGAAACTCAGTTCCTCTAGGCATGAGCAGAACAAAGAACTCAAGGCCTAGCTTTATTTTGTTACTTTATGAGCCTTTATGAGAAGTTGCTACACTTAATTTCCATTCTCTGCCAAGGAGGGGCTAGGGATGGTCAGGACCCATGGGGAGAAAATAAAACCAGAGTCCACAAGATGTCCCTACCTGTCATAGTCTTGGCAAATCTCCCCTACAGCCACCAAGGCCTTCAGGTACTCGTTGGGTTGGTAGGGATGGATGTAATGCAGGGAGCAGCTGTTCCTGGGATCCCCATTGGAGGCGGTGAAATCTATAGCTACCTGGAAGAGAGAAAATAGGATTTCAGGGGAATGAATCTCATAGGAATGGTGATAACTCACCAGAAGAACATGGTCTGAGATGGAAAAAAAAAAAAAAAAAGAAGCTGCTTGTTATATAAGCAATAAGGAAAGTTTCTTGCCGATAAGGAAAGTTAGAGAAGAAATGAATCAGCGTTAACGCCAGTTGTGAACTTCACTGAGGCCATTTCTCTAGTCTTCAATGTCCCTCTCCCCCAGTGCGCTCCTTTTGCTCTGTTCACGACAGATTTTGAGACTGACCTGTGGGTCAGAAAGTCCAGCTGATGCTGACATCAGCAGCAAAAGGAGGGTCAGCACCTGTGTCCCCAACCCTCTGCACCCACCCAGTTTCTCAAGTCCCTGAGATAAGACAGGATAATTCCACAGGTAAACTTAGTGATAAAGCCACAGGCAGACTTCCTGAACAGGAAACTCTGGGTAAGCGACGCAGGCTGTCACAGAACACACAGGCTGTCACAGAACACGATGGCCGTATTTTCACAAGTGGCACTCTGCAGTCATGTCGAAGTGCTTCTCGTCTATTTCCTGCAGAGGCAGAGCCTGCTCCGGGCAGGAACCACTGTAACAGAGAAGAGGCCGAGTGCTCCAGCCGCCGGGTGGGAAGTGGAGAAGGCAATCCTGTGGCTCACACCCAGCTGTCATCATTCTCGAACTTCAATTTCCCCGACACCCCCTTCCTATCACTATCTAAATGAATGCTGACTCACTCAACAATGAACAACAATCACATACCTAACTTGGTGGGGTGTGTACGGGGGTGCTAGCCTGCACATAGGAAAGAAATGACTTCTGATTTCCAACATCGTTATTATTTAAATACACGTTAACCCATTCAACACCTCTTCAGAATGCTTGAGTTTGATGGTGGTGGGGAGGGGTTAAAATGAAAGCAGTTGCAGGGGGCAAGGAGATGTTCACACTGTCTCTTCCCTTTCTCTTTGTGGTCTAACAGGATCCACTCATTAACGATAAAATGACTTTGTTTTATGATCTCACGGTTGGGATGTGTTATTTACAATATTGGCAGAATTTCATTACAGCAAAGTGGGATGTCCCATTGGATTGACTCAGTTGGAAAATTCTGGAAAAACAGAGAAGAGGTGTCCTGTGCTCTCAGGTGCCTCTGAAGGCCCAGAAATGAAGCTGATGGGAAAAGGGCCACCCCCATGCAGTGTGGCCCTGCCGCAGAGACAAAGCAACCAGAACAAACAGAACGCGCCAGCAGTCACTTCTTTCCAACCTCTTTCTTCTTCCTTCCTGAGAACGAAGGCTCCTACATTCCCACCCCGCCTGCCTCTCCTGCCTTACCCTCATCCTGGCCCCGCTTGTCACTTCATTTCTATCTTCTCTTCCCCACCCCTTGGGGTGGTTCTTTACACCTCACCTAGGGTGGGGTAGGGGTGGCGGTGGGCAGGGCATTGTGGCTGAAGATATCAAGTGTGGAAAAGGAGCAGACCTTGGTCACCTACTGGATGCAGAATTGGCTGCCAGTTAGGGGAAGGAAGTGGCCGGTCTCTTTGGGGATGGAGGAGACTACATTTCTGGAGGGAACGTGAAGGCCAGTGGTACAAGGCTGGTGTGGAGCAGACACACCTGGCGGGAATTTGACTTAGCCTAGGCAGGCTCTGTGTGTGTCCTCTTTCCCCATTGGGATAGCCCTATTCCAGCCCAGTCGATACTGATGGAGCTTTGGGGACAGGGTATGAACCTAAATGCTACCTAATGCAAAAGGAAATGAGCCCGGCTGACGACCTTTACCGCTGCTCCCTTTCTACGGCTTCCATGGTTGAAAGCAAAACGTGTTTTATTGCCGGACTAGACGGCAGCGGGCTGTCTTACAGACAGGGCAGCTGAAAGTTCCTTCTTTCCTGCTAGGTGATGGTTCCCAAAGTCTCCCTGATGAAGCTGGAGATAAAAGGTCTATCTTCAGGAGGTGGCCTTCTACCAAGAATTCTCTGTGCTCTTTAATGTTAGCATTAGTGGAACGAGAAGAGAGCGAAAGGTTAGGTTTATTTTAAAAAGCAACAGGGAAGCAGTGAAAGATGGGATTAAGTTGAGAAATAAAAGCAAGAAAATGACCGAAAAATGCCAGTTTGAGGAGGTGGCTGCTGATGCCTGCTTTTCTGGAAGCCTCGCGCTCCGGAGCTGTTCGTTTTCATTTTCTGATGCGAAGCACTTAGGAAAGCCTGTGGCGGCAGGGGCAGCAGTCTCCCAGCGGGAGCCGGGAACCGGCCCCCCCCCCCACAGCGCTCCCCTTCTGCCCAGCAGACTCCTCTCTCCTGCAGAACTGGGGCGCAGATTTGCGAAGTGCTTCCTCCCGCTAGCACATTCCCAGGCTGGGAGCAGCTCGCTGGAGAAGGCTGACGCAAAGTCCAGCCTCCTTCTTTGGACATTTTAAGCTTTTCACTGGAAATGAGCCCAGCTTAGACCCTTCTCCGCCCGTGACAAACGGGCCATTTGGGAACCTCCTGGGTGCCGCCTCAGGGAGGCTGCTGTGACTGTCCTCTGGCTGCTAGGTGCCTTCTCTCTCTCTCTCTCTACCTTCAGCTCCTCTGACAGCACCTGCTGGGGCCGCTGGCTTGCTCCGTTTACTTCAGATTTGTATACAATTGGGCTCCTACAATGAGTCCCAACCCACACTTGGTGGGAAAGACCCCTGAGGTCGCCTGGCTCATTTCCTGGAAACTGCAAGGCCCTTTTCTACACAGGGCTCATTCTTCTTTCCCAGAGGGCTAGTCAGAGCTCATCAGGGTTTAATCTGGGATGTAAAATTAAAATTCGGCAGTACATTGGGACCTAGCATGGACACGAGGCATACTCAGTATGCTTGGGTCAGAGAAGATTGTCCAAGAGAACCTCAAAAGGTGATTTTTTGTTTTCAGTCTTGAAGGTTCACGTGGGAGAGCTTACGTTTGTTTTATTGTATCATGTTATGAAATCAGAGCTAAAGAAAAGCAATACTAGCTTTACCTTTTAAAAATCACAAATAATAGAAGTGAACATCTGAAAATAAAAAGGATCACTTAGGACTCCACTAGCTTAGTAAGTCATGTTTCCTTTTTCTTTCTAGTATTTTATGTATGTGTATGTGTGTGTATATATATATATCTATATATATATACTATTTCACTAAACACAATGTCATAAACACATCCCATGTTTCCACCAATTATAATTATGGAAAGTGGCTTTATCATAATGTATTTAACGGAGGCACTCTCATTTACATAGCTGTTCTATTACTGCTTAGACCTTTAGGTTGCTGATAACTTCTCTGAAAAGCCATTTTACAGTGAACATCTTTATGCATCTGAAAAAGCAGTCACTTCCAAAGGAAACACTTAACTTTTCTACCATTTTCCTCCCAGATACCTTATAGTGCCGGCGTCTCCTCTGCTGGTTATAATTTTGCATTTTGTGTAAAATGCTGGCATCTACTTTTATGCTTAGCCTGCTGCGCTTTGTGCCAACATACTGACCTCGCTCTGTCTCACCCGCAACACCTCCTCCCGGACTGAGAAGGGGCCCCTGCTCTGGAGCTCTCGTGCCCCAGGAGTCTCGGAGGAAAAGGGACTGTCCCTGGGGGTGACCTCGATCTCCTGCAATTGTGTGCAGAACTTGAGGGGGGGGGTGCACCGGGTGAGAGGATGCAGATTTCTTGCGTCAGATTCTCACAGTGGTCCATGGGACCAAAAAGGAATAAGACTCACTGACGACAGGCTTTTTCTTCTTTAAGCATCCTGTAGCTCTTTCCTTCCACTGGGTCTGCTTCTGGTCAGATTCTGACCTAACACCTCTCCTGTTCTGATCCCCAAATGGCCGCCCTCCTTTCTCCCTCTTGCCTTCCCCTCACTGTCCACCTTCCTGAACGAACAGTCATGCGTGCGGTGTCCACCCCTCGGCCTGGGCTTCTGCCCCGGCTCCTGGGCTTCTGTCTCCGCCTGCTGCCATTACTCTTCCGAGGCTGCCAGAGGCCTACTCAGCACAGAGCCTCGCCGCTCTGCTTCTCTTTAGCGTGTGGCCTCTGCCCTGCTCTCGTAACCTTTCCCTTCTGATTTTTGGAGTTATGGCCTCCTCCTGGACTTCCCCCGGGGCATGACCACTCACTCTCCCTCCCCTGCTTTCAAAGGGAGGCCTTCTGCGGTGCTCGGTCACCAGACTCCTCTCTGGGCATCTCACCCAGACCCAAATGCCCGGTTTCCCCTTCTCCCCGACACCACGGTTCATATTTAGAAATGCCGCCTCTACCGGGATCCCTCAAGGTCTCTAACATTCTGCCAGCAAACTCCTCATCTAGCTCAGCAGAGACGCTGCTGTTCAACAGCTGCATTTCCCGGAACCAGAGCACCACACGCTCATCCGTCAGGCTCGCAGATCTGAGCTCCCTGGACTCGGCCTTGTCCTCGTCTTCGCTTTCTCACCTCACTGCAGACCAGGCTGAGTGAGGCTCTTTCCCGTGCGCCTCCCTACCCCCACGGCTCCCCCCACAGCCTGGTGGCTGTGGAGGGAGCTTTAGTCTCCTCGCTTTGTCTTGCAGACGCCCCTCACCCCACCAATGCCTGTCCTCAGGCACATCGGGGTTTTCTCCCCTAGAGCCCACGCCTGATGGCTTCACTGCTCGGCTCAGCATTCTTCTCAGCAGTCCCTTGTCTACCAAGTGACCTAAATGCCCATTCATATCAACCCTCTTAAAGTTTCAGTGCTTACCATTAGAAGAGATGGACACAGGAGCATTTCAACTCCTGGGCTTGCTTAGTAAAGCAATAAATCTACTATCCTATTTACTCATCAATTTCGTCTTTCCCCGAAACCTGCCTCCCCGGAAGGTTCAGGGTTCAATCCATGACAGTTAATAAAAGTATTTTGAGCACCTAACAACATTAGCAGCCTGGCACCCGAAGGGGACGAGGCGCCACTTTTGACGTTCTGAAGACTGAGAAACTGCAGGCCTCGGTGGCGGCCGCCGTGCTCTCTCCTGGCCCAGGTTCCTAAAGTGCGCGGTGCCCTGACACAAACGACGGCTCTGTCAGAAGGACGATGTCCTTTCGTAAAAGGCAACTCAGCCACCGGGAGGGAAACTGTCTAGACAGGGCAGGGAGGAGCAGTGATCGGAACTTAGTAGTGAGAGCAGCATTAGCAGGACACGACTGACCAGACGCTGTGCCCTTCCGTGGCGGAACATGTGGCTGTCACGCCAGGGCCTGCAGACAGGAAGCTGGGGTGCCATGCCCCCATTTCTCTCTCCTCCCATTCTGTGGTCTCCGGCTGTTGCCTCTCGTTGGTGAAGCCTAACTGAAAGCCATGACGGGGACACCCTGGCTCGGGCTCCCAAGAGGTCACCGCCCTGGAGCACAGAGGGTGGAGAAAGGCAAAGAGCGGAAGAAACAGCCAGAGGTTTATCTCACACTGGCTCCCAAAGGTCTGTCCTGGGGGGCAGAAAGCCCCTCGTGGCTAATGCTATGGGCTTGCTCAGGCATCACTGGTTATGCTATGAGTCAGGAGGGTTTTTTTTGCCTTTGGAGGGCTCTGGGCTGAAATTTCTGCAACAAAGCATCTCTCTCTCTCTGCTCTGCCTATCCCCAGGTCAGGAAGTGTTCCTTTCTTCCCTTCTTATCTCCCTGTTACTTTCTTTTCATGCTGCCAGATGGGTTTCAAAAAAATTACCGGCAAGATATAAACACTTAGAGATTAAATTAAGGAGGGCATGTTAATTTTTCCTGATAGTTTACATTACAGCTTATATTTTACATTAGATTGCACTGGTTGAGCAATCAGAAATTTCTAATGGGAAGGCTAACTTAATTTCCGAGGAAAATGACAGGATGTGACTGGTATGTTTCATTTAAGAGAAACTCCAAAGAGGACACCCAGCAGCCTTCTGGAGGCCCGCGCTGAAGCCCAGCGGGAGGAAGGGCTCCATGCATTATCTGAACACCCCCCCCCCCCCCCCGGGCTTCCCGTGTTTCTGGCGTTTTTTTCCTTTTTTCCCCCCCCCCCCCCCCCCCGCCGCTGGGTGCGCCCCCCCCCCCCCGGGGGGGGAGAGAGAGGCTGGCTGGGTGTTCTTCAAACACCCCCCCCCCCCGTCTGGTCATCCCTTGCTTCAGGCTGTTGTACCCTGTGATCCCCCTCACCTACCCCCAAGTCTATCAGCTGACATAGGGGGGCTGGGGAGGTGGTGGTGAGATCCACTAAGGTGGTACCCCTCAGTCGGGGAGGGACAGAGATATGAGAAAGGGAAAACACACCGTTGTCCACTAGGCCACGCAGACCTTGCTGGGTCAAGGCATGGAGCTGGAGCCCGGTGGGGTTAAAGTGCTGGTTTTCATAGGGTTTGATTCTTTGCAGAACAGCCCCAAGGGCAAAGCCTGCCCCGAAGGGTGACTCAAGACTTGTTCAACAGCATGGGATCTATAGACTCTAAAACAGGCCCGAATCAATAGCCTTCCCTTGAAAACCTATAAATAGTTTCCTGAAAGCACTCCTTTGCCCGAGATCGGGGACACTGTTGCCGGTAGTTGTCCTTTGTGACATTGCTAGTCATCTGCACACACCCGGCGTGACCGTGGGCCGCTGGGACAGCTAGAGTTGGGCGGTGTGTCCACAGGGGTGAGTTTGCTGCCTTCTGTATGTGCCGCTGTGTAGGAGCGCTGCGTGTGTCTTTAGAGAAACTTACACTCTGAAGAAATGGCTCACCTGTACTTCCTCAGCCACGCAAGGTTTAGTGAATGAGGCCCCGAGTTTGGGCAGGACATAGGCAGACCACTCTGAGGTGAGTGGGGGGGGGCATCTAGTCAGGGAGAGGCCGGCCCATGAACCCCCTTATTTTGCCCCCACAAGTCCTTTGCAAGCTACTGCCTCCCGGCTCCCACCAGGACGGCACTGGTCTTGTCTACTCTTTCGGGCTCACACCCACGTGAAACCAGCAAGCAAGCCCATTTTTCTTGCTTTCTTTGCACGACTGGGTCAGTCTAGGGAGCCAAACATGAACTTGATGACACACTCCTGCAGGATGAGGAGCAGCCACTGTGCGCAGGTTTCTTTTCCTTTCTACCCCTGCTACCTTCCCACAGGTTTGGCTGGTCTCTCGTCTGCTAGGCAGTCTTTTTCTATGGGTTACAGCTGCCCAAACCTTGGAGGATTTTGAGGAGCAGAACACTAAAAAAACAATGCTATTCCAGGGCAGGTGGACAACATAGGGTCACCTGGCACTTTGACAAGACCCAGTCCGACCACTTGGAGTACGTCAACTCCACAGGCTCACAGACAACACGTACGAGAGGAGCCTCGGCCCAACCATGGAATCTAGACACTAAGTCTATTTCTCCACTTTGGTTTCTGCCTGTTTCTCCAGTCTTTTGGAATTTACCTTCCCGCAGCCTGGTCGACCCCTTGGGTGGCTTGCTCTTGGCAATGACGCTGGCGTTGCTTTGGCCCCACGAACACGAGGTATCTGCCTTGGCTCGGTGGAGCTTTCTACAGGGTTCACTTCCTTCCCGTCCTTCCCAGGTGATGGTGCCTGGCGACCCTCCCACTGCCCTCTGCCTGTATAGTTACAGGAGGAATGGGAAGCCTTAGGATGCTTTCCTGAATTACCCGTGGTTGAGTGGCATTGATTTCCTGACACCATGCAGGAAACCACACTCCCTGGAGAAAACAGAAGTATGGATTCGTCTTTAAACCATGAGACTTACAACTGTGTCAGCAAGGCAGCTTAACCGTGATCCAGGGCTTTAACAGAATTTTGTCTCCTCACGCCCCAAGCCCAGCACCAGTCCCCAAACCTTTCTCCCTGAAAACAGAAGTGACGTGACTTACTGTAAACTGGATCTGGCAGCCCCCCATGATGTAATCCAGGAAGGAATGCATCTTGTGGATCTGCACAGGAGCAGAGGGAGAGCGTGTTAGTGACAGTGTGATCTGTGTCCTAGTCTGGAGGCCTAGAGTCAGTATCCAGCAGCCATGCCAGGGAACGGGACAGAGGAAATCTGAAGGGAAAAAAATGGGTCAGCTGATTTTAGTCTGTGAATGAACGAAAAGCAAGGAACGCTCAGTTCCCATGGCTCTGTGAAGTCCTCCGCCCTGTGGCAAACACCCCTTGCTCCCCTCTCTTTTGGCTTATGCAGCTTAATTAGCTTCTGCCACCGGGGTGAGATCAACACTCTCTTTTCAAGGATCATCACTGTTTTGAAATCAATAAGGTCTCATGCTTGGCCTTGGTCTTGCTCCCCTGCTCTGAATTTCGGTTCTGGCAGCTCTCTTCCTGCCACAAGTCACCTAGATTGGCAGCTGCCACGACAATGACCTGGGTCGGCCTTGACTTAGAGTTTCCTGTTTGTCAGGTGCCTCCTCTGCCATGAATGCCCTTGGCTAAGACAGCCTGAGCGCTGACTCTGCTGAGCACTTAGCGTCCGCTACCTCATTTCATTCTTAGGACACCCTTCCGAAGGTGGTGCTATTATCGGCATTGCACCCATTTTATGGGTGGGGAAATGGAGGCGGGTCACCTACCTAGGAGGTGGTGGAGGTGGGTACAGATGAGGGCAGTTTGGACCTGGGCCAGCAGTCAGGCTGGCCCAGTCAGGCCTGCATTCAGTCCCACCAACGTCTGTGTTCCTGGGTGCCCACCAGCCGCCTGGTCTTATTTCCTGCCTCTTTATGATTCTGCTGTGTGGCTCCTGGCAGCATTCATCTATCTGTTTATTCAGTGAGCCTTCGCTGTGCTCCAGATGCAGAGAAACAGACATGGAACATGCAGTCACGGAGCTTACAGGCTGAACTCCTTTGCCTGGAAACTAGCAATTGTGATAATTGGCCCTCAGGTCTCAGGCTCCATCTGATGCTCAGGGCAGTTTTGGGGAGGCGGACCTATGAACTTCATTATTGTGCGTCTAGGTGTCACCTCTTACAGGCACACACCTATTGACAGACAGCCTGGCACTGAGGCCCACAGGGCCCTCTAAAGAGTGTCTGATCCTGGCTTCCTCATGGAGATGCTTTGCCTCATGGCTGGTACGCCCTACTGTTGCCTGCAATTCAAGGAAGTAAGAGCTAGGAAGTGAGTCCAGGAACAATGGCCACTGAGTCCTGAGGGGAAGAGCAGAACAGATCTCTTCACGATCACAGAGAGATTGCACACCATGGAATGGGGTGAGATGGATCTTCTTCTCTCCTGCTCCTCTGGCCACAGAAATGGGGATGTGACTGTTCTGAATGGATCAGGGATTTGACTGACAGGGGTAGGTTCAATAACCAGAGACTTTGAAAGAAGAGTTTATTACTCAATTTGCAGAGGACAGACCTGTCCTACCACCCAAGGGGGGAGGACACACAGGGACAGGAAGGGAGGAGGGGGGGAACCTGTGATCGAAAGCCTGCAGGATGTTTTCTGTGGGGAGGAACAGGAGAGGCTAAACAGCGAAGCAGGTGTAAGACAGCATAGTTTGATTAATAATCCAGCAGGGTCTGCACTGTTGGGGTGGCCTCTGGTTGTCTGATACCTACCTCTACAGTGAGTCAGGCCAGGGGTAACATTGACTGGTGCGTGAGCGCTCAGCAAAGGAGGGTGCACAGGGATCGGCTCTGGATGATCTGGTCTGTCAAAGTATCAAAGGCCGCCTTGCGGGCAAGTTGTGTGCTGTGTCTAGGAGTTAGCTAGCCCTGGGGGGCAATCCCTTCCCAGGTCCCTAAGATGGCAAAGCATCATCAAATACAGAAAACAGAAGATTTGATAAAACAATGACCCCAGGTGGCTAATCAGTAATTGGTTCAAGAGTGGGAATGTGACCCCAGCCTGGCCCATCTTTTCCTGTACTCTTTTGTCATGTGGAGACACACTCCTGGCAGCCATGGGGAGGCCAATCTCCAGAAGGAGCCAGATATGGGTGAAGTGAAAAGGGAGGGCCCTGAGTCGTACATTCTAGATCAGACAGACACAAGCTTAAGATCGCAGCTCGTACATGTACCACTTGGGTGACTGCGTTACGCAGAGATCTCATGGTTACTGTAAGCATTAGACAGAGTTTATTACAGTCACTTTCATATAATCAAGTACTCATCCAGTTACAGAATTCTTCTCAGATAATACTTAAGAGGTTTCACTAGCAGCACGTGGTATTTTTTGAAAAATTGGACATTTTTGAAAATTCATTCTGAAATAAATTTCCAGGCTCTTTAATTATCTTATTTTCATGAGACCCTTCCAACATGGGTGACGGGTAAGCTATCAAACACTATGACAAACACATAGTAGGTGCTTTGAACTGCTGGCTGTGCACCCTGGTGATCTTCCCCCGATGCCGTGGGACAGAGAAGAGCCTGACTGTGACCTTCCAGGTCCCTCTTATCCTTGGGTGCTGGACTTCCCTTGGTGAGAGTGTGGTGGCATTAGGCCATATCAACTACCAGATGACCCACGCTTGCATTTCGATATTGACCTTTTGATTTTTATTTTAGAAAAGATCAGACCTCATTGACACATTTTTCCCTGACCACACAGCCTGAACTCTTCCTCCCAGACATTTCCAGCTGCCTATCTCTGCAACATGGCTATGTACATACCTTGCACAGATTCAAAATCACAGTGCCCGAGTTCTTGTAATTCTTCTTCTTGGCTTTGTACTTGGGGTTGATGCACTCCCATTGGACCTGCAACAGCAAGTGTCACGGGGTGAGAGGCTGCTTGGGCACAGCTGGAGTGGCTGATGACCAGCCCTGGGGGCCACTGGCTGCATGGACACAAGGCTGCATGATGGTCTCTAGGTGATACTCCTGGCATCGAGGCAGGCGGTGATGTTGACAGCTGAGAGCGAGACTGGCATCAGACTGTCTAGTTTGAGTCCCAGTCCCTTTGCTTTCCAGCTGTTGACCTCTGGCAAGTGACTTTTTCCCTGCATGCCTTGGATATCTCCTCTATAAAACAGAGCTCATGATGATATTTATGTCAGGGGCTTGTTCTGAGGGTTAAATGATCAATCTATGGAATACATTCAGAACAGTGCCCAGCACTTGGAATGCTCACTATTCATGGGGTCAAATCAAGCAGCAGGGGGGAGGAGAGAGCTGCAGACACAGTGAGGAACCCAGGGCTGAGCCTTCGTGCCTGACTGAAAAGGTAGGAACAGCGAGGATGACTGAATGTTGGCTACAGGAAGTTAGTGAGAATGATGATGAGTTTACAAAGTTTTTTGCCGAGAATGAGAAAATGGATGATACATGCCCCCCCCACACACACCCCTGTTCCCTAAGGAGTTTCCTGAGGGGTATGCTGAGAGCTGAGGAGTGGCTGGGAACTGAGCTCTCTGGGAGCTAAGGGTACATCTAAGGGGACGGAGCTCAACCTTTCCCACCAACGCAAGAGTTCATAGATCAAAGTCAATGGCAAGTGAAGCATCAGGACCGGATCTCAGGTTCTGCCCTTGTCTTTGACCACAACTCAAACACGGCTCCCTGCCCCGCTCTGTTCAGAAACACTCAGGTCTGTAACCAGCCCAATCTCTTTCCTGACTTGGCACTTTGCTGTACTGTTCCCTCTGCCTGACATGTTGTTCCCTTGCTCGCTATCTGGCTGACTTTTTTTTTTTTTTTTTTTAATTTTAAGGGACTTCAACTTAAAAGCCACTTTCCCCCCGATGATCTCTTCTCTGTTAGACCTTTTAACAAAACTGGCTGTATTTTATAGCATTTGTCACAAGCTACACCTGCATTTAAAGTTTTTTGTTAACGTGACATATTTTATTTACATGGATAGTCAGGGCATCTAGAGCACTTAGTAGGTGCTCCTCAGTGACAGTGGAGACAATACAAAAGAGCAGTTTCCATACTGCAAAATGAGGCAAAACAGAGGCTGGATGGGTGAAAGAAGTATTTCTGGTATCACAGTGCTACAGAAAGACATGGGAGCATCCGATCCCTTTCCTCAGTGGGACTTAAAGACTCATTTCTGAAGGACAAGAGAGCTGGGGTAGTCACTTCCCATCTCCCACTTATTCTTCCCTGAGGGCTCCTCCCTGGGAGGTGCTTCACCTGCTTTGGTGCCTTCAGCCTGCTGTGAGCATCAGAACAGCAGAGGAAACCCCTGGGGAAGATCTGGCTTGGCAGCTGAAGGCTGAGCAGGTGAACACCGAGCAGGTAAGACGAGAAGTCACATGAGCACAAGCTGGACAGCAGGACTGCTGATACGTGACTGTGTGAAAGGACACGTGTCTGGGAGAAACAGGAGGCTTAGACTTTGGGGGGAGGCAGCGAACCCCCAACGTGCTCCATGGTTTGTGGGAGTGTTTGGACACACGTTCTGGCAGCAGGTGTGTAAGAGTGAAACAATGGCACCCGATGAAAACCTGAGACACATCCTGAAAATCTGGAGACGTCAAATCACTTCCCCAAAGCACCACATGTGTCATTAATGTGTCATCCCACCAGGTGACGGACCTGTAGGTCTGGAAGATACTAGATAGCAGATATTTTGCAAGTGCTAGCTCTGCCAGGCCCTCTGCTAACGACGGCTGGCAGATTATTTAATTTAATCTTCACAAGACTCTAGGAGATATTTCACATTCACTGCTTTTAGGTGAGAAAATGGAGGCACAGAGAGATATGAAGGTCCAATGAAAGGGAATTGGAAATATTCTCCCCTAACCGTTCCACTTTGCTGATGGGTGAACCGTACCACCTGGGGTGGTATCTTGTCCAGGGTCACCCCAACTGCTTTGGGTTGGGCTTGTCGAGGCTCTTGGCATCCAGTCCCCCCGCCCTCCCCTGGTACATGTGATCCTGAGCGATGTCTCTGTCTAGACTGGGTGGGAGCTGGGTGCGGAGGGGGCCTGGTGACAGGGGGCATGGGGAAATCACGAGCCGCGAGCCACGCACCTGCTTCCCTTCCAGGGCGCCTCTCATCTCTTTGAACGTCGAGGTGAACTCGCCAATGAAGTCGTGTTTGCCGTTGGAGTCCCAGTCCCACACGATGCACTGAAAGGGAAAAGAAATGTCTGTTCTCTCTTCGGATTCAGAATCACAGCGGCTGCCAGCAGCTGAACTTCATGAGAAGAGTCGACTAGAGGCCTTTGGCCAGGAGAGCCTCGTGGTCGAGGGCTGCAGCAGGTGGGCCTTGCTCTGGCTTCTAGACAGGGCCTATGTACACCGCCTCCAAGCAGCCCTGTGAGGCTATTGTCTATTTTTCCAGGTAAAGCCAGAGAGCCCAAAAGGAGCCCAGCGACCAAAGGGTCATCTAGTGACCGGAAACCTGGGTATGACAGCAGACACCGACTCCCTCCAAGGGCTCCTGCCCCCAGCAGATAAACGCCTTGGTTCACAGCCAGAACCAGGCTGGAAGTCACGCCTGCTGCTGCTCCAACAGCACCTAATGACTGATGTGTGAGTGAGCTTGTATTGATCACATTTTCTTTTTTGAAGACAAGGCTATCGATGCTAATGAAAATGAGTAAGAAGACAAAGAAGGGAGATCGCTACCTGTACCCACATGAAAAATGGGGAGAAATGGTGCCAGCTAAATGTCCTAACACGAGGACTCCCTTGGGGATGTGAAGGCTCAATTCTGGCTTCCAGGAGCACAGAGCAACACAGATGAAATCAGCAGCGTCCCTCTGTGTGGCCACATGTCCTTTAGCAAAGGGGAGTTCCCCGGTTTTTCCAGGCTGGAGGCTGCACTAGGGTCTCCAAGACTTTAGATACCATTTCTGTATCTTGAACCAGAGATCTGTAGCTGAACTCAAGTAATATCAAGGCAGCAAAAGGGGGCCATGCCCGGAGGTTTCCCCAGGAATATTGGGGTTCTCAGGGGAGCCTGGTCCTCTCTAGGATGTAGAGCCCCCTCAGAGGCCTGCTGAAAAGCTGATTTGTAGGTATTTTCTCTGATCCTGAGGGATACCCCGTAGGCCTAAACTGATGTATGTCCAAAATGAAGCATAATTCCACTCCCACCAACCCTAAATTTTTTCCTACTCATTTAGTTTCTGTCACTGCAAAATTCACCAGTGCTGATCCAGTGGCTGGCCATCCTTCCCGACACACCTCTCTCCTCCCTTTCCCTCTCCAGCCCTGCCTATCCCGTCTCCTCAACATGGGCTGACTCCAGCACTTCTCTTGTTCCCATGATCCCTTTGTGCCTGCTTCTCTGTAATGGTCTTCTAGTCCCCCCACTCTGTAACACCCCAATCCACAATGATTCATGTTCATTTTCTGCTTAAAATCAAATTGTATATAGGTAGCAGGTCTTTCAAGTCTGTCAACACTGGAGCCTCCCATCTCTTATAGTTCACGCCTATGCTGCGTTTGGAGTTTCTCTGGTATATGGTTGGTTGGAATGAAAAACAGTTGCTAAGTTTTTTTTTTTTTTTTTTTTTGAGGCCTTAAAGAAAGGTGACTTTCTCAGCTGTGCAAGCTCTTTAATTATTCAAGCTTTGGCAGGTAATTCTTTGCTTGGAAAACATATCAGTAAACTCTGGTTATGAAGGAGAATGTATTAGAATAAATCAGAATGGAAGAAGTTAAGACAAAGGAGCGAAAGTGCTCTGCTGAGTAAAATAATGGTCAAGTTGGGTTTTTCCTTTGTAACTGGAGACAGAGAAGTGGGGCTCAGGGATGTGGACTGAGAAGAAATCAGGGCAGGATCCACCAGAGGCCTGAGGGTGAGCCCACCGCGGAGCAGGAGGAGGGGAAAGACATGTAAGGGACTTTGGAAGCTGGAGGCCTAATTTTCAAGGTGAGTTATTATGTAGTCTCCCTCCAAGCCCCTTTTCTGCTTCCCCTCTCCTGTTACCCCTGAGACCCCAGTGAATCTACTATCCTAGCAGGTAGGCAATCATGAGTGGGTGACTTTGAGCGCAAGGGAGAGAGACAAGCCAACCAGAGAGCAGGCCAATTAGGCCCACACAAGGCCTGGGGATTGCGGCGGGAGGGGTGAATGTCAGTCCCATGGAGTTACAATTCAAATTATTCAGTTTAGATTTTAAAAGAAAGTTTGAGAGCAGAAAGTTGGAGAATTACAATTAAAATTCAGTTAATGGCGGGCCCTCCCTGGTGACACAGCGGGTTAAAGCATAGCACTGAGAAGCTAAAGCCACTTCCGCTGGCCCCCCAGGAGACCGTGGGGCGTGGCAGACCTCTCCTGACCCGCCCTATGCGCCCATCAGCAGTGTACTTCGTCTGCCGGCCTGTTCTGCTCCCCACTCTGTCCTGGTGAATTCTCTCACCCTCTGCATCTCTGGCCTGTACCCCAGTTCCATATGAATAAATAAATAAATCTTTTTAAAAAAATTCAGTCAATGGCACTAATTAGTTTACACTAACTTTTCAGTTTGTTACCTATTTTCTCAGTTGGTTGGTACTAAAATATAAGTTACTGTGATTCGCTGTTGCCACCCCAAGGTGAGGACAATGTTCAGATGTCCCCAAATGAGCCGTGACGGGCCTGTGTGGAGAAGGACAACAACCGCTGTTCTCAGCCCACTGCGGTAACTACAGCATAACCTTAAATCCTTAAAGCGCCATCAAGGGGAAATTTCAATTTAATGCATGACTCCAAAGAGGGCAAAACAGCGTTTCAAGAGGAAATTTACAAAGAAGTAGCAAAGTTTCCACCTCCTTGTTACACCCATCTAAAAGCAAACTAATTTGCTTATGAAAGAGCAAGGGCTTTCTTATGGGAAATTTTCAAGTTGAATGCACGACCATGTACAAAATATATGGTTGAGACAGTCAAGGACAGATGGTTCCAGAGGACTGGTGGGAAGACAACTGAACTTTCTTGTAACTACTTTCTTCTAGTGACACCAAGATGAGTAGTTGTTGCACAGTTTGCGAGATAAGGCCAGTGAAACGCCAGGCCAGGCAATGTCGCATTGGTCAGGTGACGTTCAACGTCATTCGTTTCAATGGGTGGTAACTCCATCAATGATTTGTTCACTTGGAAAAATTGCTCAGGACATGCAGGATGCAATCCTGGTGTTCAGGCTCTGGCAGTTACTCACAGCCCCCCACTTCTGTTTGCCAGTCCTTCCTGACACTCACCATTTATTATCTGGAGCCGGAGACAGAAGAAAGCTTGCTGGACTGGACAGGAGAAAGAAGGGTGATTCTGGACTTTGCCTTTAAGGCCCTAACTTCAGTGGTCAACACAGCCACAAGACTGGCTAAGCCCGACACCTCAGCCTAAACCTTCACAGAGGATGAAATGAAAGGGCAGAGGTGCAGAGCAAGTCAGAGAACAGCAATGGAAGCGGCTTTCTAGCATCCCTGCATCAGGAAAGACCGTCGGGCCACTCTCCCACCTCCCTAGATGCAGCAGAGAACAGGAAAAGCAAGAGAGAGTGTCCGGCTCTAAGCAAAGGCCACAAGACTCTGTCACCCCTCTGGTTTTCTGTCACGCTTTCATTAGCGTCTGTTCCTCCTTATCCCTGCCCAGCATAGCACACAAGCTGTGTGCAGCCTGCTCGCACCAGGGCAGGAAGACGCGGCAGGCTGACGGGCCTGGCCATGTCCCGGGCTCCCCGCTGCGCACACAGGCCCTTTCTTCCACTCGCCTGTGTTTCTCATTGTGGCCGTGGCGTAATTCTGTTTTGACCCTTTGCAGAAGGGATCCCAAAGGGAGACAGAAAAACAAAACCGCTGTCTCTCCCTCTCTTCCTGCCATGAAGCTGGCTTGTGACAGCTTGGATGCGGCTGACAGAGGAGTGCATTTTGGAGGGAAGTAAACAGATCAACTGCCCTGGAGAAAAACAGGCAGAGGCGGTTTTTGGTGTGAATGCTACAGAAGGCTTGACAGTTCCATGACAGATCAGCTCAAGACCACCGACAAGCCAGAAGGCTGTCCCGAGTCCCTACATGGCAGGGAAGCTGAAGTACAAGTGGCAGATCTCGCTGGTGGGGGTTGTGGGGGTGGGGGTGAGTCAACACCCTCAGTTCACAGAGAAAGGAGGTGACTTCACCCATGACAGGGCTGGAACTAAAATGTGGTTCCAGCATTTTCCTTCCTTCTTGGTCTTCATCACTACTACACAAACTGCAAATGATGATACTTAAACACAAGTTGAGCTTGCCATGAACTAGAGATGAGTTTACTGATGAGGAAACTAAGAAGAAGCAAAGTAAAATTTCCAAGACCATGCAACTAACACTAGGGACTCTTTGAACTGAAAGAAGTTAAATTTCATAACTTGTTTTAACAGATCAGCTTCTATGAAACCAGGTGGTTTGTGTGGATGGTCTTCATGCTTCCACAGTAGCCCTGTGGTGACAATATTACTCCCATCCACTGGTGGTGGTGAAGCCACTTGACCAGACATCTAGAAAATAGCAAAAATTATAGCTACATTTTTCTGTCTGTACATATCTATCTGTCTGTCTGTCTGCCTATCTATCTATTGACTTCAACAAGAAATTCAACCACAAAGAGATCATGACAAGGGAAATAAGTCAGAAAGAGAAAGAGAAATACCAGGTGGTTTCACAAAGACCTGGAATAAAAAGAATCAAAATAGAGGAACAGGCAAAAAACCAACCAAAGCAAACCTCAAAGGCTTGACTTCAGAACTGAGGTTACCAGAAGGCGAGGGGGCCCACTTGTCTGTGGTGGAGGATTATGGTTACTTTGGTGGGTGTGATGTGGTAATAAACATTTGTAGAGGTGTGAATCTATACCCCTAAATTACATACAGCGTTGTAAACCAACATTAACAACAAATAATACAATGGAAATGAAATCTGTTCTGGCTCACATACATACTAATTACACAGATAATACATATAGATAGCTATAAAGAAACCCACGCATAGACAGAGGCAACTTTGAAGGTACATCCTGGTTCCATAATTCAATGTGGCACTGCCTTAAGCATACAAACATCTTAAAATCTTATGCTTAGGAGAGTCAGGTTAAGTGATGCCTGGGAGGGAAGGGTGGAGAGTTTGTTGGCTTTATCTTGCCAGTTCACCCATCTCCTCCCCTCTGG